AGAGAGAGAGAGAGAGAGAGAGAGAGAGAGAGAGAGAGAGAGAGAGAAAGAAAGAAAGAAAGAAAGAAAGAAAGAAAGAGAGAGAGAGGGAGGGAGGGAGGGAGGGAGAAACAAAGAGAGAGAGAAGGAGAGAGAGGGAGGGAGGGCAAGACAGGGAGAGAGAAGGAGGGGAAGGAAGGAAAGGAGAAACAGAGAGAGGGAGGGAGGGAGAAAGGGAGAAAGGAAGAAACAAAGACAGAGAGGGAGGGAGGGAGAGGAGGGGTGGAGAGAGAGAGAAAGAGAGAGAGAGAGAGAGAAAGAAAGAAAGAAAAAGAAAGAAAGAAAGAAAGAAAGAAAGAAAGAAAGAAAGAAAGAAAGAAAGAAAGAAAGGGAGGGAGGGAAGAACAAAGAGAGAGAGAGGAGGAGAGAGAGGGAGGGAGGGCAAGACAGAGAGAGAAGGAGGGGAAGAAAGGAAAGGAGAAACAGAGATGGAGGGAGGGAGGAAGAGGAGGGGGCGGAGAGAGAGAGAAAGAAAGAGAGGGGGGAAAACAGGCAGAAGCATGTTTGACCGGTCTCTCTGAAAATGGGTTGGGCAATTGGTGGGAACTGTTATGCGAACCAGGTTCTTCAAGTTAAACCGGATTAGGATTTATTTTATGTTAATTTGGAGTACAGCACAGCATGGACATCTCGTGCCTGGCTGGTTGGTTGGTTCATTGATTGATTTCCTCCTTGGATGGATGGAGGGATGGATGCAGGGAGAGGGATGGACGGGTGATGGATGGAGGGGGGAGGGATGATGGATGGGTGAGTGGGTGGGTGGATAAATAGATGGATGGAGGAGGGGCAAATTCTGCATCTCCACGTTTCTATTCCAACATCTCTCCCTGTTGGCTTTCTTATTTTTCGCCGAGGTTTAGTGACACTCTGTTTTCGTGTTTCACCTGGGAACGTAGGAATGCCAACATTTTCAGGTACGCAAAACCCCACTCCTTTCTAGCACGGATCGTGTGACCTAGTTGGGTACCGAGACGCCTGCAAGACAACATCCCAAGCTCAGAGAGCACCCAGGACCTCGCCTTTTAACCGAAGCCTTGTCCTTCTTCTTCTTCCACCTGCTGAGATGCCAAATCCACCCCCCCGCCATTCTGAGAACCGGCAAGCATAACGAGAGACCATCCCATCCATCATGGCACCCTGTTCAGACAACCAGGGTGGGATTTCCCAGCTGCAAGGAGCTGCTGAAGCCCCCTCCCCCCAAAAAAGCCCTTTTAGTAAAGTTGCTAAGAACGGCCCCTTGGATTTCTGCGTGCATTTCGGGGGGATCCGGGCGTGCAAGAAATTCCACGCTCCTGTTTGCAATGCAAACTTTGCCCTTCCTACGAAATACATTTTCTGAATCGAGGAACGAGAAGAGGGAATTTCACTGTAAGCAAAGATATATACATCTTTACTTCCGAGCTGAGGAGGCTGCAAAACTCAAGCCAGGAGTTGCTACTCTGTAAATATCAACGCTTTGGAAACAGAAAGTACGTTCTGCTTGGTGTAGAGGAGAAAATGTCCCGTGGTTTGATTCTAAATCCTGATCCATAAAAACACTCCATTCCCTTAGCTTTCTCTCTTTCTGACTCCCGGCCACTTAGCCTCCAAGCCCCTTGGGGCAGGTACTTAAAAGGCTTAACACAGGTAGCCCTCGACTCATGACAACGACTGAGGCCCCGCTGCTAAGCGAGACAGCTGCCCAGGGAGTTTCGTCCCCCTTTCACCACCTCTCTTGCCCGCTGTCGGTAAGCGAAATCAGTGCAGCCGTTAAAAGTTAGTAAGACGGAACTGGAAGTAGGTCACAAAAGCGGATCACAAGAGCCTCCCAGGGACGCTGCAGCCGTCATTAAATGTGAAGCAGTGTCTGGATTTTTGAACCCTGCGGCCTCCAGGATGCCTCAACGGCCGTGTGAGGAAAATGGTCCCAAGTCTCTCTCTCTCTCTCTTTTCAGTGCCGTTGTTCACTTTTGAACGGCCACTAAAAGGAACGGTCATAAGTCAAGGACGGACGACCTGTACAGGTCGTCCAAACGGGATGGGAGGAGGAGAAATGGCCATATTTTTTTTTGAAAAAAATAAATAAATAAAAGGTATAAACAACTTGCAGGCTTGTGATTTGCAGCTTTTGTCCTGTCTAACTGTCCAAGGGTCCCCTTTGTAGGGCATTTTCATTGAAAACCAGGATTTTTATTTTTATTTTATTATTCCGAACGGTTCAAGGACTGGTCAGCCAGAGGCTAATTATCATCTTCGCTGTGCAGATTCTCAGCAACTGAAATGAAAGGGCTGGAGGGAGAGGGAAGAGCTTTGGGAACACGAAATTAACACGTTTTCCCTGCATCGGAAGGCACAATCTTTGGAAAACAAGGTTGCGTAAGACCGAACGGAGAAAAATATCCATGCAGAATAAGTGCTAAGCTACCGAGTCAAAGAAGAACAGGAAACCAATGTTTGTTTGTTTGCTTGCTTGCTTTGCAGGCGACTGGATTCTAAGGACATTCGGTCCCCACCTAGCAACCCGGCGGGAAAGGATGATGGAAAGTGGAGGTCAGCCCCCATCATCCCCGCTGCAGAGCCATGCAAACCAGCCATCTTGAGGATCTGCCCCCTTCCAAAGAAAGACTGATCCACTCAGGATCCTGGAGAACCACAGCACCGAGTCCTTTGGAGGGCTTCTGGGCTTCCCGCCTTGGTGCCTTCGGCAGGAGCTGTGGTTGAGCCAGCCACCTTCTCCTGGTCAGAGAGAGAGAGAGAGAGACAGAGACAGAGGGAGGGAGGGAGAGAGGGAGAGAGAGGCAGAGGAGGGAGGGGGAGAGAAAGAGAGACGGAGAGGGAATGGGGAAGGAGAGAGGGAGAGAGAGAGAGAGAGAGAGAGACAGACAGACAGAGAGAAAGAGATAGAGAGAGAGAGTGTGTGAGGGAGAGAGTGAGTGAGAGAAAGAGACAGACAGAGAGGGAGGGAAGGATAGAGGGAGGGAGATAGACCCAGAGAGAGAAGGAGAGAGAGACAGGGAGAGAGGGAGGGAGGGAGAGAGGCACAAAGAGAGGGAGGGAGAGAGATAGAGAGAGAAAAATGGAGGGAGGGGACAGAAAGAGACAGAGGGAGGAAAGGAAGGAGAAAGGGAGGGAGAGAGAGGGGGGGGAGGAAGAGAGAGAGAGAGACAGAAAGAGGAGGGAAGATCACCAAGAACTACCTTCCCATTTGGGGGTGCTTTCTCCCTCTTCTCCTCTTGTTTGCCACCACCTCTAACTCTGAACCCCCAACCCAGCTTTCCATGTTGATCCTCAGCCTTCTGAAGGCTTCATCCGCTGAGCCTCCCCGGCTTAGTCTGCCCTCTGCCGTACCAACAGCAGAAGCAACACCACTCCAAAAAACAAACCAAGCCTCAGGGTTTTTTAAAAAATATAATAAAGATATATACATAGAGAGAGAGAGAGAGAGACAAACACAATATAGAAGCCTGATGATGGCAGATGAGATTCTGCCGAAACGTTGCTACAACTTTAAAAGCACAACTATAATGACGTGGGAAAATACCCGAACAAAGCTGAATACCATACATATAGATACCCGCGAAAACTTAAGAAAACAAATATAGATAGATAGATAGATAGATAGATAGATAGATAGATAGATAGATAGATAGATAGATAGATATAGGGGCATCCCAAAAAGCAGACAAAGGCAAAGACCCCTACAAGTAACCTGGCCAGGTCAAAAGCCACCTTCTACTTCGGTCAAGAGAAAACCGACATGGTTGCGTCTGCCCAGGGACCCCCAAAGCTTGGCAGAGGCATCGCTCCTCGCAACTTGCAATCCTAAGCTGTTAAAACGTGGTTTTTTGCTGACTGCACAGTCTGTGCCGGAAAATTCCTCTTGCCCCATGCCTCAGTTTCCCCTCCACAACGGGTTAGCATGGACATCAAGGGGGTGGGTGAGTGGGAGCTACGCCACCAGCATGGATGCACCTTCCCAACGCGCCCAACGCACAGCTCCTACAACTGTTCGGTCCCGTCAAAACGCCCGCTTCCCATCCACTTCCTGGGAACGGTGCTCACACAATGCCAAGGTTTGCCAGATTCCTTGCCTCCCTTCCCCCACCCCCCGCCTCCTCCTGGGCACCCCCCCGGGGAGTCCTGTGAGCCCCCCACCAACGGCGCTCTCCTCCCGCGCCCACCCACCCAAATGATCCCAAGGAACAGAGAGAGGGGAGGTTTTGCTTAGGAAGAGCTGGAAAACTGAATTCGTTCCTCCTTTCCACCATCCAGCGCAGGGAGGGAAACCTAGCCGGGGACCCCTTCGCTCTCACCCCAACTGTCTCAAAGGCACCCTTGGCCCCCCCCCCTCGACCCGGGGAGGAAAGGAGAAGAGCCCAGGGTGGAAAGAAAGGGAGTTGGGATCCAATTCGGGGTTAGGAACCCCCTGGCCTACCCAGTGGGGGGGGGGGTGGAAGAAGAAAAAAACATCCTTCAAGCTGGATGAGAGAGGCTGCCACTCAGCCCCAAAACGGTCTCTTGACACCCACCCCCCTTTTCAAGGGGGGGATACCTAGGATGGAGCAAGCCCCCTTCACTTCCTCCCTCCCCCACCACTGAGGGTGCCTCCCCCTCCCCTGGCAGAAGAGCGTGAACCCTGATGGGGGGGGGGCGGCCCCGTCCCCCCCCCCCCATTGGGGGGATGCCCCCCCCCCCCCAAAACCCCCCCTCTTTAAGGAGACCCCGCCCTCACAGCAGCGGGGACCCCCCCCCCCCCCCCCCCCATACACCCACACCCCCTCCCTCTCGGCTGCCCCCCCCCCTGCCGTTTATCTCCCTCCCCCTCCCCTTCTGCGACCCCTCCCCCCTTAAACCTTCCGACCAAATAAAAAGAAATAAAAAGAGAGGAAGCGGGGGCGGGATGGTCTTACCTGGGAAGGCCAGGCTCGCCAAACACACGCCGGTAGTCCACCAGCCCCGGAGCCAGCCCAGCTGCCGCGTTGGCCCGGCCATCGGAACCTCTTTTCCCCCCCGGTCGGGGTCGGGGAGGAGGGCGAAGTTGAATTGGGGTCGAGGCGCCGATGGGGCATCAAAGGGGGATCCGCGCCAGGGACCCCCTCCCCTTCTTCGTCTCCTTGGCCCGAGGGGCAGAAGGGGGAGGGAAGGAGGGAGGGCGAGCAGAGCAGCCCTCGGGACTCGCCCGCAGACACGCGGCCCCCTCCTCGGGCAGGGGGCAGCGCCCGCCCGACCCTTTTTCCCCGGCGGGGGTGGATCTGGGAAGGATCTGGAGGGTCGATCCTCGCCTTCCCCGCCTCTGCTTCTGCTCCGTCCGAGGGGAATTTGGGGGGAGAGGGGAGGGGAATCTGAATGGATCTGGAAGTGGATCCTCAGCCGGCTTGGCTTTGGCTGGTTCCCAGCGGGGTGGAGATCTGGAGGGATCTGGAGGGTCGATCCTCGGCTTCCCCGCTCTTGGCTGCTCCGTCCGATCCGGCAGGGGAGGGATCGGAGGGATCTGGGGCTGGGGGGGTTAGACCCTCGGCCGGCTTCGCTCCGGCTGCTCCCGGCGGGAGTGGATGGTGGAGGGATCCGAGGGTCAATCCATCAATCCATCAATCACTCAGAAGAAGAGCTGGAAGGGACCTTGGAGGTCCTCTAGTCGACTCCTCGGCTTCCTCGCTCCGGCTGACTCCGTCCGATCGCTTCGTCCGTCTCAGCCCAGCCCAGCCCCGGCCGCTGGGAAGCGTCTCACCTCGGCTGGCGGCGCCCAAGCATCGCCCGCGGGGCGGTGGGGAAAGAGATGCGCGCCGGGCAGCCAGGCGGAGGGGAGGATCGCGGCGGGAGTCCCGGGGGAGGGCTTCTTCCTCCTCGGCTACAGTCCCCGGCCCTTTCGCCCTCTCCGGGAGGGGAGTCCGGCCGTCTAAGCGCTGCTGCGCTGCGGCTGCTCGGCGGGCCTCGGCGGGGCGCGCAGGGAGACCCCCATCCAGGGCGGGCGGCGGGCGGAGGACGAATCCCGGCGGTCGGAGCAGCAGCAGCGGCCGGGCGGCGCAAACCTCAGCCGCTTCCCGCAGCGGAGCTTCGAGTCCGGCCGGGCGGAGCAGAGAGCGGGAGCGCGCCTGGAGCCCCCGCCCGGGCACGCGCAACGCCAGCGGCAGCGGAGGCAACGGCAGCGGCAGCAGCGGCAGCGGCAGCAGCAGCGCGAAGCTCGCCCGGTCCCAGCTTCGGACCTCTGGCCCCGCCCCCCCC